ACCAATCCAACAACAGAGAAACATCACGATCCAGAGAACTTTATCCCCAAAATGCAAGGTTGTTTATTATCAAAAATTACTTGATGTGATGCTATCCTCCTCGGCGAGTAGCAACTGGGATCTTAAAAGCCTACAAGCAGCCATCTAGATGCAATGATGGGTCTCTCCTCGTCCAGAGCAAAGAAGAATGAAGAAAACTAAAGACGCACGGCAACAATTAGTCCAAGCAACTGGGACACCATGAGATCCTCAGCCTATACGACTATGAGACCAGAACTAGATGGTGCCTGGCTACTGTCAACCATTTGGAGGGTGATCTATGTAGGAGATCCTGAATAGAGTGGGACAACAATGTGGAACAAAACTCAAAATCATTAAAAAAAGGGGGGTGGGGTGGGGAGGTGTACCAGGTTTGCTGATCTGATAGATGATGGAACCACTGAGACCATGGCCCCTAGTTGCCTTTTAGGTCTGGAATTGAACCCACTGCCATGGCTTCCAGCCAAACAAAATACACGGGCATATGAAGTGAACATTTATGTTAGGAAGATACACTCCTTGGAGAGATCAATCGTGGGAGAATAGAAAGGCTGTGTATGCACAGGGAGACAGCTCAGGGGGCAAGAGTGCATAGGAGGGAAGGACACAGGGAAGCGGTAACTATGGGGAGGAAGTGGGAGGGGAGCTGTTGCACTATGGGAAATTGCAATCAATGTCATGAGACAAAATGTTTGTGAGCTGCTGTATGGAAAGTGGATTTGTTCTGTAAACTTTCACCCAAATCACAATTAAAAAAAAAAAAAATCACTTGATGTGATGCATCCTAAGCACTATAATGAAATGTGTAAAAACCTGGTACTAGAAAACCAAGAGAAGAACATGATCAGCATTTATCAACTTGAAAGAAATGAAGAAAATGTCAAGCCTCGAATTGCAAAGCTGAAGGATTCTGTGGGTAAAATACTGCATGATGCAGGAAGCATCAAAAGAAGATGGAAGCAATATATAGTTAGTGTACCAAACAGAAGGGGCCCTGACGGTATAGTCCCTAAGGCATTTGACTGCTAACCAGAAAGCTGGAGGTTCAAACCCACCAGAAGGAAGACTGGGCAATCTATTTCCATAAAGATTTACTACCTCAGAAACCCAAAGGGGGTCACTGTGAGTCAGAATCAACTAGAAGGCAGTGAGGTTCTTTTTGGTACCAGAAAGAACTGGTCAGTGTTCAGTCATTTCTGAAGGGACCAAATGATCAAGCACCAATGGTACTTAAGGAAGAAGTCCAAGTTGCATGGAAGGAATCGGTGAAAAACAAGGCTTCAGGAATTGACAGAATACCCGCCGAGATGTTTCAACAAATTGATGCAGGACTCGAGGTGCTTACTTGTCTATGCCAGGAAATTTGGAAAACAGCTACCTGGTCAACCAATTGGAAGAAATGCATTATTTGTGCCCATGTCAAAGAAAGGTGATCCCATAGAATGTGGAAATCATCACACGATATCATTAATATCACATGCAAATAAAATTTTGCTAAACATAATTAAAAAATGGTTGTAGTGGTATATTGACAGGAAACTTCCAGAAATGCAAGGTGGACTCAGAAGAGGACATGGAATGAGGGACATCACTGCTGATGTCAGATGGATCTTGGCTGAAAGCAAAGAATACCAGAAAGATGTTTATCTGTGTTCTGTTGACTATGCAAGGCCATCATAACAAATTATGGATAACACTGCGAAAAAAGGAATTCCAGAACACTTAAATGTGCTCGTGAGAAACCTGTACATAGACCAGGAGGCTGTCATTCAAACAGAACAAGGTACTACTGCCTGGTTCAAAATGAAGAAGGGAGTCCATCAGGGTTGTATCCTTTTACCACACTTATTCAATCTGTATGTTGACCAAATAATCTGAGAAGCTGGATCATGTGAAGAAAAACACGGCATCAGGATTGGAGGAAGACTCATTAACAACCTGTTATACGCAAATGACACATCCTTGGCTTGCTGAAAGTGAAGAGGACTTGAAGCACTTACTGAAGAGCAAAGACTATAGCCTTCATCATGTCACTCTTACAATCTAACAGGAGAACTGGTATTATTTCAGGCTTACGTTTAGAAAATCAGACACCTTCAATAAAAATGACACCCTTGCAACCAAAAACGAGCTCTGGTGTTACAGTGCCTAAGGCATCTGACTGCTAACTGGAAGGCTGGTGATTTAAACCCACCAGTCACTCCTTGGAAGGAAGATGGGACAGACCACCTCTGTAGTGATACCACCTTGGAAACCCAAGGAGGGCTCGCTATGATTTGGATTCAACTTGACAGCAGTGAGTTTGGTTGTGGTTTTGGTTTATAGCTACGAACTATGTATTTTCTTAAGTAAAAGGATGAGGCAGACACACTTACATGGAATACCACAATTATGAGAACAAACACTTAAAACTCTGACGATGCTCGCAAGCAATGCAATGAGACAAAAGCAGAGGTCATAAGCCCATCTCTAAGCAGGAAACAGGAGCTCTCGTAGCGTAGTGCCTAAGGCACCTGACTGCTAACCAGAAGGCTGGCGGTTCAAACCCACCAGACACTGCTCGGAAGGAAGGTGGGGCAATCTACTTTCGCAGTGATACCGCCTCGGAAACCCACGGAGGGGTCACTCTGAGTCACGTCCGACTCAGTGCCATGTAACGACGACAACAACAAGCAGGAAACAGTGCGGCTCAGATCAGCCTAGTTTCCAGCTGGCATTATCAATCTTACTCAATTCTTGAGGATGTCATTCATAGTGATATTCCAGATTTGAAGGCAGAAAGACATGACTAAACTCTCCACAGGTATATTTCAATTAATGACTGGGAAGGGAACCAGAAATCTTGACTTAGTCCAAAAATAAGGATCATTGAATTAAGAAGTCTACAGGTCCTCTGGTGGCATAATGGATAAGGCATTCGGCCGCTAACCAGAAGGCCAGCGGTTCAATCCACCCACCAGCTGCTCTGCAGAAGGAAGATGGGTCTATCTACTTCTGTGAAGATTGACCTACCTGCCACCCTGGAAACCCAATGGGGATCGCAATGAGTTGAAATCGACTTGATGGCAGTGAATTTGGTTTTTGTTTTCTTAAATTAAGAAGTCCAATGTCACTTGCACCAAAAACACAGTATTAAAAAAAAAGAAGTTTAACGCCAAGTTCTGAGCCAGCCAACATACACCTCAATATATACCATTAAACTAAAAAAAAAAAAAAAACCAACCAACCAAACTCAGTGCCATCAAATAGATCTCCAACTCATAATGACACCCCATGGGAGCCACTGGTGGGTCTGAACCCCAACCTTCTGGTTACCACTCAATAAATACCTTAGGCACTGTGCCACCAGCACTCCTTATATATGCCATTAGATGTTTAGAAGACTGTAACCTCAAAGGGCCTTATGGCTACTCCTTACAGGAGAACCTCCTGCACCATTTAACAAACAAGTATGTCCTATGCCACGCCACTGTCTCTAATATACCAAGAAGTCACAGAGACCGGGGCTAAGGACAGCTCCCTAGACAAAGGGGCAAAAGACGAAAACTGGCATTGACAAAAAAGGAGACACATGGCCCTTAAATATACGAAAAGAAGCCCAACTCTGTCCACAGAAAGCAAAACGAAGGCTGAACCACTGGGTCACCACCTCCTCCCGTCAGAGCTGTGCTGCCCCCTCTGGTGGGGGTCATGGTGACTCACCCACCCACCACCGGACACTCTGCCCCAGCAAACTCACTGCTGGTGCTCAGTCACAGAGGTATCTGCTCGTCTACGAGACAGCCTGTGGACAAGATGGCAGACATACAAGACTGCACATGTGCAGGCTTCTAACAAAACTGCTTACAACGGCAAGAAACAGAAAACCACTCGAGTGCCCATCACCAGGGTGCTGCTTAAAAACAAAAAGTCAGCAGCCGAAGAGAGAGAGAGGATGTGCTCATGGGACAGATGGAGAAAGGCTCTCAGGCCACACTGCTAAGTGACAAAGCAAAGCACCAAAGCAGGGTGTACTGTTTGACAAAAAACAGAAGAACAGATATCTGCATTTGCAGAAATCAATGCAGGAAGGGCATGCAGTAAGCAAATCCAGCTGGCGCCCTCCAGGGATGGGGGATGGGGGGAGGTACTGGCCAGGGTGCTGGAGAGGGAGCAGGATGCTCACTGTCGTCGCCGGTTATGGTTCTATGATTTGAACCATTAATGTATGTGACCGATTAAAACTGACCGAGTACCAAGCATCTTTTTTTTTTTGATTTGGGTGAAGATTTACAGCGCAAATTCACTTTTCATACAGCAGTTCACATAATATACTGTCTCATGTCATTGACCAAAATGTACAATGCAGCAGCTCCCCTCCCACTTCCTCCCCATAGTTACCTCCTCCCAGTGTCCATCCCTTCATACTCTTCTGCACCCTGAGCTATCTCCCTGTGCATAAGCAGCCCTTCCTTCTCCCATGATTGTTCTCTCCAGGGCGTGTGTCTACTTGAGGTAAAAGTACCAAGCATCTTAACTTTCTTTTGCTCATCTTTCCGTTTAAAAGTTACTTACTGAGCATCTAGTATAAAACTGTCTTTAAAGAAAATAAAACAACAAAGCCTGATAGGGCAGCCTCTCTTTTGGTTAACAGAAAAATAGATATCCAACAGAAACTTATGTCCAAGTATGTCTGAAATTTTAACTCCTATAAAACACAAAAGAGCCATAACACCTAGACACATGGGGCTACCACCCTGGGGTGTTGACAAGACAACTTGATGATTACAGAGCCCAGCAAGAGAAACGAGATTGCCACGGGGTGATGAGTCATGTTTGCTAATTTCTGAAGTTCATCTAATCTTCAGAAATTATTGGAAATAGAGCAATTTTGTGTAACGATAACGCTCATGTTTGGAGAAAACACACACAAAGCAAGGGACCCTTGGCAAAATAAAATGAGTGAAAAAAGAGATGCGTACCTGCTGTGTTGGGTAAGATGGGGGTGGACTCTCCGCTTTGCTTTCTTCTTTGCCGAGGCTCCCGTTTCCTAGCGCTACGTCTTCCTTCGGGACTCCCGGTGGCTCCCCACTACTCTCGCCATCTGCTTCCTCGTCGTCGGCCTCTGAAGAGCTACTGCTGGTACTGCTGACCTGAGGGGACTGGAAAAGCAGCCCTGTGTGATTTATGTTCTTCAAACAGAAGATTCTGAGAAAACATGAAAACGTCAGACTCCCCACTCCATGCCATTTACTGCAGCTAAAAAAACAGCCAAGCCCATACCTCATCTTTCAGGGCCATGTTTTCCCCGCCACCGTTTAATTCGCTGTGAATTCCATTCATGTTGGCCACAACCTCGGCATCGCCATAGTTACTCAATGGGTAAATGCCAGCAAATTTAGCCGATAACGGTGCGTCGTCTTCATCATCACTACAACTGAGACCAAGCACAGTCAGTCACTGAGAGGCTGTCAACTGGGGGAGGGCGAGTGGACCTCTGGCTGGGCACTGACATCCCACTTACACATAATGGTTCTCATTTACAAGGAGCATCATGTCAAAGACCACTCAGGCTACTAACACTGCTTACTAACCAGGACACAAAATGCCTGCACATTGACATTTGAACTATTTGCAAAAATCATGGAAAACAAAAGCTCCACGTAATAAACATTGAATCACAAAACTGTAATTGTATTAACGGATAATATATTTCCATTTAACACTACATTAAAGGCTTTCATGTAAAATTATCTTCTTCTGCCACCCCTAAATAGACAATTATTTTTTTATTAAAAATAAAGGGGTATAGAAACAACCTGAAGAATTTTTTATAACTACCAAAAATTACTTCAGAAATTGTGAGCTGATCAGCAGGAATGCACAGGAAGGAAGGACACAGGGAGGAGGAAACTACAGAGGGGAAGTGGGAAGAGAGCTGTTAGACTGTGAGGAATTGCAGTCAATGTCACGGAACAAAATGTGTGTGGACATCTGCACGGAAAATGAATTTGCTGCCACCCAAATCACAATTCAAAAGAAAGAAATAGCGAGCTCAATGAAGTTTAAAAGGTACTTCCTGACTAAGGTGCAACTATTGGTCTCTCTTCATGAGGAGTAAGAAGAGTGAAGAAGACCAAATAATTAGACCAAAAGATAAAGGATCACGCTAACCCCAGCCTCCATGACTGAGACCAGAAGAACTAGATGGTGCCTGGCTACCATTGTTGACTGTTTTAAAGGGATCACAATAGGAGGTCCCAGTAGCGACTGGTACACCATCCGATCTGCAACCTATACAACTATGAGACCAGAAGAACTAGATGGTGCCCAGCTACCACTGCCATCCACTTGGAAGGGATGTAGGAGATCCTGCATAGAGAGGGAGAACAATGTGGTACAAAACTCAAAATCATTTGGAGGAAAAGAAAAAAAGAAGGTGGGGACCAGGATTGCTGGTCCAATGGAGCCTGGTGTAACCACTGAGACTATGGCCCCTAGCTGCCCTTCAGGTCTGGAATTGAACCCACAACTGTGGTTTCCAGCCAAACAAAGTACAGGCATGTGAGTTAAACATTTACCTCAAGTAGACACACGCCCTGGAGAGAACAATCATGGGAGAAGGAAGGGCTGCTTATGCACAGGGAGATAGCTCAGGGTGCAGGAGAGTATGGAGGGATGGACACTGGGAGGAGGTAACTATGGGGAGGAAGTGGGAGGGGAGCTGTTGCATTGTAAATTTTGGTCAATGACATGAGACAAAGTATATATGAACTGCTGTACGAAAAGAGAATTTACTCTGTAAATCTTCACCCAAATCCTAAAAAAGAAAAAAAAGAAACAAAAAAAAAAATAGGAGGTCCCAGATAAAGCAGGAAAAAAACATACAACAAAACTCAAAATGATAAAACCACTAGACTTACTAGTCTTTTAGAGACTGGTGAAACCCGCAAGCCTATGGCCCTCAGACACCCTTCAAGCCTGGAACTGAAGTCACCCTCGTGAATCAACTTTTAGCCAAACAACAGACAGCCTATGGGGTGAACAACAACACCAGGAGGTACACAGTCACTAAAGTAACGAACCACAGGAGATCTGAAGGGTGGCACTGGCCCAGGGAGAAAGCTCAGAAGGCAGGAAGGGACAGGAAGAAGGAAGAAGGGCAACAGTGAACACAGGGAGGGAGTGGGAAGAGGGCTCTTACCCTGTGAGGAGTGCAAGCAACGTCACAGAACATGACGTCTCATTAACTGCTGAACGGAAAACCAAGGTGCTCCATCAACCTTCCCCAGTTCACAATCAATAGATTTTGGTTTTGTAAAAAGATCACTTAGTCACTAAATACTCAGAGTTCTTTTACTGTAAGACCAGCTGTGGTCAAGACAGTCAGAATTACAAACTGGCATTTAGCAGGACATCCAAGCCCTGGGGAAGCCGAGCAGTGAACCCAGTGATGGCACAACTGATGAGACTGCCGGGTTCTCCAGGTCTTGCGATTTTTCCGTGTGATGTCTTACCACTCACCTTTTAAAGGCAAGTACCAGAGTTTTCCTTCACTGGAAGATTTCTGCCTCACATGAGGCCTGGCTCTCACAGGTTTTACTGTATTTACTAAAGAAAAGTAACAAGGCTTTATTCTCTCGAAAGCTGCTTAAAATGGATGATTTTCTGGTTTGTGAAGAAAGCTGGCCCAGAGCTTACGTTCAAAGATGGAGTGTCCACGTACCCCACAGTCCATGTGCGTGGGCACCACAGAGTGCAAGAGCTCTAAGAAGACACAAAACACTGTTCCACCTCCTACTTTGGTAAGTAGTGACTAGGATCTTAAAAGCTTGCAAGCAGCCATCTAGATGCAACAATGGGTCTCTCCTTGTCCACAGCAAAGAAAAATGAAGAAAACCAAAGATTCATGGAAACAATTAGTCTTAGCGACTGGTACACCATGTGATCTGCAGCCTATACGACTAGGAGACCAGAGGAACTACCACTGTCAACCACTCAGAGGGGGATCTACGGAGGAGATCCTGGACAGAGTGGGAGAACAATGAACTACCACTGTCAACCACTCAGAGGGGGATCTACGGAGGAGATCCTGGACAGAGAGGGAGAACAACGTGGAAAGAACTCAAAATCATTTGGAGAAAAAAAAAAAAAAGTGGGGACCAGGTTTGCTGGTCTGATAGAGCCTGGTGGAACCACTGAGACTATGGCCCCTAGCTGCCCTTCAGGTCTGGAATTGAACCCACACCTGTGGTTTCCAGCCAAACAAAAGACAGGCATATGAGCTGAACATTTACCTGAGGTAGACACACTCCTTGGAGAGAACAATCATGGGAGAAAGAAGGGCTGCTTATGCACAGGGAGACAGTTCAGAGGGCAGGAGTGCATGGAGGGATGGACACAGGGAAGAGGTAATTATATAGGGAGGAAGTGGGAGGGGAGCTGTTGCATTGTGGTAAATTGTGGTCAATGTCACGAGACAAAGTGTATGTGAACTGCTGTATGGAAAGTGAATTTGCTCTGTGAACTTTCACCCAAATCACAATTAAAAAAAAAAAAAGATGACGTGACGCCTTTGTATCTTTAGAAAGAATGTCCAAGAAGGCCCATTTCAAGAGTCTCTGCCATTTTAAGAAAACAAGAACCATCATGTAAGGCAGAGCCCACCAAAGCAAAGGAGAAATGGCTGGCCACCCAGGGCAAGGCTCAGGCTGACTGAGGGCCTGCGACAGCACACACCCACTCCTGAGGCATCGTCCTGCCCCCATTTACACGTGAGGAAATTGAGGCTCAGTTAACTGCCTATGATGGAAGCAAGCTTCCTTAACTGAGGGCCGGAAAACTCCAGAGGGCCCTGAGGGGCACTGACTCAAACAGCATGATCCAATGCACTGACTTTAGAAAAGGCACCAAGGAATGAGAAAGACATAGAGAGGTACATGGGAGGTACGTACAGACAACAAATATGAACCCTTTTGCACATACAGTACTGCATTGTCAGTGAAGGCTAACAGGTATATGGGTGGATAGATGGGTAGACAGGCTGAACGATTAGGCATGTCTATGAAATGGGGAGTGTATCCAAGAACATATATAGGGTTGGCAGACAATGGTCCTATAAGTTTATCGTGAATGATCAGAATTTCCAGCTGTACAGTAGAGCTGACAAGGGGCAAGGTTGTGGTCACTGTTTGGTCACAGCCAGCTACCCAGAGGGACCAACTAGTTGAACCTGCAGGCGTGGGACGATAGTCGCAAGGGACATCAAGCTCAATTGGCATAACATACTATACAAAACATTGTTCCACCTCCTACTTTGGCAAGGAGGGACTGGAATCTTAAAAGCTAGCAAGTTGCCATCTAGATGCAATGATGGGTCTCTCCTTGTCAAGAGCAAAGAAGAAAGAAGAAAACCAAAATTAATGGAAACAATCAGTCCTAGCGACTGGTACACCATCTGATCTGCAGCCTATACGACTATGAGACCAGAGGAACTAGATGGTGCCTGGCTACTACTGTCATCCATTTGGAAGGGGATCTATGTAGGAGATTCTGGATATAGAGGGAGAACAATGGGGAACAAAACTCAAAATCATTTGGAGAAAAAAAAAAAAAAGTGGGGACCAGGTTTGCTGGCCTGATAGAGCCTGGTGGAACCACTGAGACTATGGCCCCTAGCTGCCCTTCAGGTCTGGAATTGAACCCGCACCTGTAGTTTCCAGCCAAACAAAAGACAGGCATATGAGTTGAACATTTACCTCAAGTAGATACACTCCTTGGAGAGAACAATCGTGGGAGAAAGAAGGGCTGCTTATGCACAGGGAGACAGCTCAGGGGGCAGGAGTCTATGGAGGGATGGACACTGGGAAGAGGTAACCATGGGAAGGAAGTGGGAAGGGAGCTATTGCATTGTGGTAAACTGTGGTCAATGACATGAGACAAGGTGTATGTGAGCTGCTGTATGGAAAGTGAATTTTTCTCTGTAAATCTTCACCCAAATCACAATAAAAAAAAAAAGATTAAAAGAAAGAAAAGGCACCAAGGAAAAGCAAACACAGACCAAATGACACTTGACAGTTTCCAAATCACAACCGTTCACACGAGGAAAGCTGCCACGCCTCGTGCCCAGCTGTCCCAGGGCCTCCAGAGCAGCAGTGGGTGCCATGCATTCAGCACTGGAGAGACTGTCACAGCCCCAAGGCTCTCCTCCCTGAGCACGGCCCAGGGCCTTTGGAACTACCCTGTGCAGCTATGTCCAGCGGCGAGCATGGAGTTTACAGACTCACGCTTGCATCAGCCTACACAGGTTAAACTCTGTGTCTCAGTAAGCATCTGGGAATTGACGGTGAGACCTCGATGCCCTCCCACGCACTCAGGGGGCGCACCGGGAGTCGACAGCTGCAGAGCAGCGCGAGACCTGTCAACAAGGAGCCATGGTTTCAGACCTGCTCCTCTAAGGACTGAAGGCATGTGGAAGAAACCCCAGATGGGGTGAGGAGCAGCATGGGCCTGTCAGGGAGAGCTGAGAAGAGTGGGGGGCCCAGCCCTGGGGGACCATCATATCAGAGGGCATGCTGGCACCCAGTCCTCTTTGCAGGCTCGCAGCACACATGCCAACACCCGAGTGCCAGCAAGCTCACAGATGAAGATGTACGCGCACACAGCCCTTCCAGAGTCAGAGTGTGAAGCCTCCACAAACGACAGTGTCACTGACACAGAGGACATGTGGGACCACACCTCCAATGCACAGCAGTGACAGTCGCATGGCCCCCTCCCTGGTACGGACCACACCTCTGCACTGTGGGGCCCCTCCCAAAGGACCCTGCAGACATGGAGTGAACGCACACGCCAACCGTACCATGAGACAGGGTGGAAAAGGCAGACGTGCTACGCTCAAACCAAAGGGAAAATGGGGGCCACAGAGAACAGACGCTGCCCTGCATACCCACGGTTTCTGCTGTTACTGCCATTCACTCAGTGACTATGTTTTAATGAAATGGTGTCAGTTTGTGTTTACTGATTTCATGTGTCTGAAAGTTGCTTGGAGAATGCACTGTGATGACAGTCACATTGCTGTTGACCTGACTCTACATGGCTCACTGCCGGAAACTTCCTGACAAAGTCCCAACTTACAAGGTGGGTGCAGAGCCACTCTCTGGGAGGATGAGCCTAGGATGGTGCTGAATCGTAACAGGAGAGCTGGAGCCCGACCCCGAGCTTGCCGAGGACACGCTGGGTGGCCGCATCTCAGAGAGGTAGTCAGGAGCAGAGTCCATCTGGAGTGGCAGCTGGTGAATGTGGAGGTCCTCAGTGACGGGGGGGTCCATGATGCCACAAGTGAGGATGTGGGAGAGGCTACAGTCGTCACAAGCACATCTGAGCGGGAAGGAAAGACAGTTACAAAGGCAACCACATGGCAGGACAGGCGTGAGTTCTCAAAGGTCACCCCTGCGTGGGGAGAGCAGAGCCATGCACCCCACCAACCCAGACGTGGTGCTCACCTTCTCCGGTAGTTACAGTTGGGACAGTCAGGCAGGCTCAGGCGTGACGACAGCATGTGCCTCATGGTGTCTGTGAAGTGGTTCTCACCAGCGACTGCTTTCTTATTAGTTAACTAGAGGGAATTAGAAAACAATGGTCCAATTCCAACTTGGCAAGGCATTTTCCCGCTGTTCCATACCCTGCAGTGTTAAGCGGCTGTGGGGACGCCCCGCACTCAGCCGGCAGCGCGGTAATAAGTGGTCTGAGGTGTTAAGCGGCTATGGGGACGTCCCGCACTCGGCCAGCAGCGCGGTAATAGGTGGTGATGCGTGTCATGCTCATCTGGGACCCAATGGTCTAGGCGTCCTGCGGTGGAGAAGCCAGGGAGTCAGGGACCAACTAGAGCCAGGGCCACCCACACAAACCAGAGAGGCCGGGGACTAGCGGTCACGAGGCCTCATTCCAGAGACCTGGCAGGCATCTGCTGCTTCCCCTGTGCCCACCAGTGCTGTCTAGGTACCAGGAGAACACAGACAGGAGAGAGGTCACTGCCTGCAAGGAGCTTAGAATCTAGTGGAGACAGACATAAATCAAAGGTCAATTAGGAAAAAAAAAAAAGGAAGGGAAATGTAAGGGGCGTTATGGTAGAGACTTCCCCAGGGCTGTGGGAACAAAAAGGCGGCTCCACAGGGTGGGGGGTGGGGAGACAGGAGGCCTGAGCCGGAGATCAACAAGGAGCTCACATTGGTAATTCAGTCCAAGGCAAAGGGCGTATCCAGACCAGGAGAGCTCTAGGCCAGGCACAGCCCTACAGACTTCCACAACACCCATAAGCACTGAACTCAAGGGGTCATGGGACACCAAGGGCCGACAGTGCCTGAGATCACAGCGTGGCAGGGCGGGGGGCTGCGGGGTTGTGGACAGGAACTGCAACCCAGAGAGGGACCCAGCATGGGAGGCTGTAGTCAGGAGATGCAGCCTAGAGGGGAACTAAGGATGGTGGGCGGCAGACAGGAACTGCAGCCTAGAGAGGGACATAGGACAGAGCAGGTGGGAGAGGCTGCGTAGGAACCAGCAACAGGCAGGCAAGGTGGGGAGCGTAGGCCACAGGGATCGCAGTCAGAGAGCAGACAGCAGCCAGGTGGGCTGCACTAAGCGGCTAAGTCAACGCGAGTCCTCCGTGGGAGCACACAGGACACAAGGACACAGGTGAATGAGTGAACGGAGTGGCCCCCGAGGTTTCTCGCATCTGTGTGGCCTCCACACGCTGGTCTGTCACAGCGGAGCACGTCAACACGCACACGAGCTGCTCACTGTGTAGCGGAGGGCTTCTGCTTCCCACACACCCCCTCCCTCCTCTCCGCAGCCGCACCTGCTCCTCGGTGAACCGTCTTTGTTTAAACAGCTCCCAGTCCTCTGTTAGCATGCGCTGCTTGGTTTTCATGGTCATCTAGTAAGAAGATGTTAAAAACAAAATTAGCACCAGCAAGATTCACACAGGATAGCTTTCAGATAACATCACAACAAACATCAGACAGACAAAATAAAACAAGTGGCCTGCCAAGACCCACCCGACTTATAGCATCCGCTCCCACATCCCACTCGACACAAGCCCCCACCAGCTCCTTTCCCACAGGAAGGTGAGAGAGGGGCCAAATCCGAAAGAGAAACGAAGGGCATGGCAGTGGTCTGTCAGCGTGGCGGACAGTCACCAGTCACTAAGTGCCCGTGGGGCCCCGCGTGTGTGAGCTAGGAGATGACGCAGCCTGATGCTGGCCACGACAAGCCCGCACACAGCAGAGACTGACACAGACCGGCTGGGGGCGGACAGTAAGGTGAGCTCAGGGCACTGTCCTCCGCAGAGAGCAGGAGAGGTGAAGGCAGAATGGAAGCTTCGTGGCTACACGACTCATTCCCCTGACGGGAACAGAGGTCACACATGCCGCCAGAAGACAGCTCTGAAAGCGAAGGTCTTCCAAGCTCTGAACAAGAGACCGTCTGCACTACAGTCCCAGCAGACGTGGCGAGAGAAACCACGTTTCAAGTTTTGCATGAATTTTGTGGAAGTCAGTGAAATGACATCATGTATGGTGCCTAGCACACAGCACCCATGCCCAGCAGTGTCACAGGCCCAAGTGGGCAGCACTGGGAAGCGTCACAGAAGCATCTCTGAGGTCCATCTCCAGCCATCGCCCTCCCTCCTCTGCTCCCCTCAATCACTCCTCAGCCCTTGCTGGGTGGTGGCTCACATGCACACCCCCTCTCTGGATGGGGAGGGTCAGAAATGAGAGAGGCTAAGGCCAGCATGGCATGTGCCCAAGCCCAAAGGGGCGGACAGTACACATACGCTTCCTTCAGTAACAAACGTCAGCTGCTCCCGACAGTCCCAGAGGCCCTGGTATGGCTGACACCCAGCTTGGGCAGCAGCCTGTGCAAAGGAGACTGGGGACCTGGCCAGATACAGCACTCGCCCAGCTGCTGCAACCATCCCAAGTGTGTACCATGCTGGGCAGGCACTTTGGAACTCCTCTGCTCCATCAGCGGCTGGCACACAGCATGTCTGGGCCCTTGCCTTAGCACCTCTACCTGTGGCCTTCACCATCACCCCTCCTCAAGGAACAGGAAAGCCCCGGATCACACTCCTCAGACAGTCCCACTGCACAGCGTAGGCGTGCCCGCCTGGTTCACCTGCTCGTCCACGTAGTCATCAATCCTCCTCTGGCACTCCAGCCACTCCTCGGCCACATGCCGCAGCTCCTCCTCCGAGCGGTGGTAGCGCTGCAACAAGGTGCTGTACGTGTCCTCGTTGCAGGTGTCATGTGTGGTGGTGCCCAGCCTGCCAGAGAGAAGGCCTTCTGTCAAAGGAAGGGAGCGCCCCGGGCTGCTCAGCAGGTCCAGCGCGGACCCTCACCTCCTAGTCTGAGCCCTGCGGGTGGCACAATGTCCTGAACCAGGCTGCCTGCTGTGTGGGATCACGAATCACGAATGTGGCACACCCAGAACAAAGCACGGCAGAAAGGACACAATTGAGGAATGAGCAAGGGCTCCTATGACAACACCCAGTGACAAAGAGGAGATAAAGCCTGGCGTGTGGGTCACTGGACGTGAGGCTATAAACAAGCTCTTCCTCCCGAAGCACATCGACCCAGAGAAGAGAGAACAAGCTGTCAGAAATGCAAAACTGGGATCTACTTTTCACATTAAGTAAAACAGAAAACTGACGTCAACTGAAGAGCTGTACTCATTCCCTATTATCTCCCTAGGAGAGAAGACGATGGAAAATGAGAAAGCAAACAGGAAACAAGACACATACAGGTGACGGGACAGGTGAGGGGGGAGAGCTCCACTGTGACTTCTGAACAAGAGGGCATCTCGGGGGGGAGACAGGTAGGAAGAACGTGAAAGGGCAGACACACATCACACCTTCAAAAACAACTCGTTTTCTTAATACCTAAGTACGTCAATATTTGAACCAACATGACTGCAATGGGAGCTCTGGTGGCGTAGTGCCTAAGGCATGTGACTGCTACACAGAAGGCTGGCGGTTCAAACCACCAGCCACTCCTCAGAAGGAAGGATGGGCAATCTACTTCCGCAGTGATACTGCCTCGGAAACCCAAGGAGGGGTGGCTATGAGTCAGATTTGACTCGACGGCAATGAGTCTGGCTTTGGGTTTCGACTGGAACAGCTAACAAGGATTTCTCAGAAGCCAGGACGACATTTACAACCACCACAGAGCACCGAGCGGCTGCACAGCATCCGCCAACAGTGCTGGTCACAGAAAACTGGACCCTCCTTGTGGGGAGCCCTAAGCACATCACGGTTCATCCCGACAAAGGAGGGCTGTGGATGCATCACCAGCGTTACAGCTGCCTATGCTGCTACCCACCTGCTCACATCTCCAGGCTGTGAAATGGAAGGGTATGTCTAGGCAAAAGGGAACAGACTCACCACCTTGTGAGTACTGACTGGGGATCTTAAAAGTCTGCAGGCGGCCATCTAGATGGAACAACTGGTCTCCCTTTGCCCAGAGCAAAAAAGAATGAAGAAAGCCAAAGACGCATGGAAACAATTCGTCCAAGGGACTAGTGTGCCATGCAAACCGCAGCCTACAGGACCATGAGACCAGAAGAACTAGACGGTGTCTGGATACCACTGTCAACCACTTGGGAAAGTGCAGGAGATCCTGGATAGAGTGGAGAAAAATGTGAAACAAACCTCAAAATCATATAAGAGACCAGCCACTCCTGTGGCTTCCAGCCAAATAACAGACAGGCATATGAAGTGAGTATTTATACTAGGTAGATACACTCCTTACAACAATCACCCGTGGGAGATCAGAAGGGCAGCATTTGCATAGGGAGATAGATCGGAGAGCAGGAGTGTATAGGAAAGAAGGACATAGGGAAGAGGTAACCACAGGGAGGAAGTGGGAGGAGAGCTGTTCCATTGTGGGGATTGCAGTCACTGTCATGAAACAAAATGTGTATGAACCTGTATGCAAAATGAATTCGCTCTGCAAACTTTCACCCAAAAAAAAAAAAAGGAAAGAAAAAGCAGCAGCCGTTGAAGAGCTACTTAGGGGCAGGAAGAATGCAGAGTGGGATGGTGAGAATGATGACAGCTTGAAGGGTGGAATCAATGTCACCAAATGGTACACGCAGAATCTGTTGCATTGGTGTATGGTTTGCTATGTACATTTCCAACAAGAACAACAAATCAATAAAATTATTTATTTATACGTGTATATATAAATCTAAGCATCCTGATGGGTAGAAAGCACCCCTTCTCCTTCCTGCCTCTGCTTGAGTGATCACACGAGGACAGTGGGACAACCTAAGCATCTGCCCACCTGTGGATGCAGATGGTCCCCACACAAGCTCCCATGTGGAATCTCCTTCAAAGAAGGAGTAAGCACAAACAAGACCGAACTGAAAAGTTGCCCAACAAGGCCCAGAAAAAAAAGAAAGGGATTGGAGCGGCTGAAACTGGCAGGGCTGCTCCAGAAGAGCTCCGCTTCCCGGAGGACAAACTCAGCAGCAACAGCAGCAGCAGCCAAACCTCCTGCCTCTCCCAGGTGTGCTCCTTTCTGTCTACAGTGCCTGTTTTCCCCGAGCGCTGCTGCTGTAACTGCCAGGGACTTGCAGGAACACCGCGCTGCGTCGCGGGCAAACACACTGCCAGCCCACAGGGCTTACGGGGACGGGAGCACATACCTGATCTGTGACACCAGGGTTGGCAGGTTGCTCTGGAGAAGTGGCTCCGAAAAGACCAGATTCTCAAACAGGTGCTTATTGTGCAGCTCCCATGTCACCTGGAACTTTTTCAAGTGCTCATTTTCCTAGTTTTTTTTTTAAAAAAAAAAAAACACACACGTACTGAATCAATGGAGATTCAGATTGCCAGAGAAATGTTGCTGGGTCTCCCGCAGGCACCTACACACTTGTTCTGCACCATCTCCACCAGCCCAGGATGCTCGGCTTACGAGCACTCTCTGTGCCCCGTCTGTCCTAAAGCACGGAGCATACGTGTCTCTGCTGGGCACTTTGGATACGCTCTGAAATGGCACGCCTACGGGAGGCACAGCAGGACAGGCACCAGACCGCACCCTGCACGCAGATTCCTTCCTTCCACAGCTGGCCTGCTAGGGCTTATCCTCGGAGGTTCCTCA